CCGGAGAGACTTGCGGCGGGTTTTGCAGCTTCAACGGCAACGTGGGCAGTTCCACGTCTCCGACTGGACTAGGCCACCTGAGTACCCCCCCACCCCCCGGAAAGCCGCTTTCCTGGACCCCCCACGCCTGGACCCAGGAAGTGGCCCCTGAGCCGCCGCCCTGTGTTGCCCAGCTCCGGCAGGCTGACAGGAGCTCCGCTGGCACCGTGTCTGGCCAAGCGTTCCTGGAGAGGAGGCCACAGGGTTGGGCCCACAGGGCTCTGGGGTCCGAGAGTGCCCTGATGGGTGGAGGGGGGGATGGGCTGGAGTGTCCACGTGTTGAATGTCCACCCGAGCTTGCAACAGGCAGTGGGAGAGCGGGAGGAATAGGGCTCTCTGGGCAAGGCCGGACTACAGCTCCCCCATACACCCTTCCCGGTCTCCACCCCCTTGCCTATGTTCAGGCTAGGCAGACCAAGAGCTGCTGCGGAAGAGGAGGGACGGAAAAGACTCATTTGTTTGCTGATGTCTCAAAAGGCAGTAAATGGGCACCCAGGCTTGCCCTCTGCACACCTCCTGGAAACAGTGTTTCAAAGCCTGTTGCTGAATCCGAACTGGAGCCTCAGGTCATGGAGGAAGGAGACAGGTGGAGGGCACTAAGTTCAGCTCTCCAAGAGGGGTTTCTTTCAGCCAGCCCCCAAGGGCCAGGAAAGGCACTTCCCATTCTCCCCCTCTTCCTTTGTCACTGCCATCACTTTTCCTGGCAGGTTCTTCCTTGAACCGTTGGTAATCCCCTCAGTCAAGCCAGAATGGAAAATGTCAGTGTCATCCTTCTAAAAGGGAAAGGGGTCTCCCCAACAGAAGCTATCATTGCTCTGGAAGATGGCCTGTGTCTCATTATTCTAAGCACTGTACCCCTCTCCAGAAAAAGAAGCTGCCCCTCACTCCAGCTTCAAAGTCTAACCGGTTAGCAATAACTTTGACCAGCTGGCTGTGTGACCTTGAGCAGATGCCTTCTCCTCTCTGGGCTTGATTTTCCCCATCCAAAGAGTGGGTTGGTTGAGCCAGATGATCTCAAAAGGCTTGTCCAGCCCTGGAGTCGAGTGAATCAGAGTATTGGTGACAGCCAGTATTACCTTATTTCCAGAAGCCTTGTTCAAGTTCATTCACATTTGGCCATCTGTAATGATGGGATATTGTAAATACAGTTCCATGTTCTCTACTAAGGAAGCTTCAGATGTGCTGGGCTTTCTAGACGAAGAGGTCGCTAAGTCAGCAATCATCCTTACCTAGAAGACTAACGTGGACTTGTCTTCCTGGTGACCAAGATAGGGGTCACATCTGGCCACCTCCTCCTTCCTCCCTAGCCTGATTTCTTGCTGGTGATACCTTACTCCTGCCAGGTTGCCAGGCTGCCAGGCACTAACCGTGTGGAGCCTCAAAGCAGGGTGCCAGGGTTTCCTCTCTGTCAGGGTCTCCGATGCACCACAAGGCTTCTAAGAACCACTTGAGGGAGGGGCACTAATGTTGCTTCTTTGCAGTTGGGAAAGCTCAGACCCACAGTAGGTTGTCCTGTGAGAGGCAGGGCAATACTAGGACTAGAAATAGAGCCAACCCTTTGGATTCTCTTAGAAAAGTCCTAGGTAACTTGTCAAGATCCACCCTCTTCCAGGACTCCTTACACACATGTGCTGGGGCCCATAACGTTTTTTTTTTTTTCTCATTTCGGCAGCTCCAAATGACCACTTACTTTATAGCAACCGGTCTCAAATTTATTTCACCTTGGAGTCTCATGAGGACGCACTGCATGATGCTGAAATAGCATGTAAGCTCCGCCCAATGGGTTTTAAGGTGAGTGCGGAATGGGAGGGATGAAATGACCTTGTACCGTAGATAGAGTTGGCAGGAAGCACAGCCTCCCCCTGGGTTAGGAGCCCAAACTCAAGCAGAGCAGGGAGAAGGCTTTATGATGGAGCTGCAGGTCCCTTGGCAAACGGTGACTCTGATCTGCGAGAGAACTGGATTCTTCCTCAATTTGATCTTCATCTGATGACCTATCAGACCTACCACAAAGCCTGGGCTTTGTGACTCTCCAGAATTTGGACTTGGAAACCAGACTGCCTGGGTTTATGTCCCAGCTGCACTACTTCTACTAGCTGTGTGGCCTTGGGTAAATTACTTTACCTTCTCATGCCTCATCTTTTCCTCTGCAAAATGGAGTTATCCAAAACACATACTACTATTAGCGTGTTGGGAAAGTCATGATGCATTTTTCTGTTTTCTATTCAAAAACGTGCCATGACTTTCCTGACAAACCAATAAATGCGGATGTTGTGAAGACTGTATGAGCTAAGAACAGTGCAGTATCTAAGAGTTTTCTGTTACTATCATAATTTTCTTTTCTTTTCTTTTCCTTTTTTTTTTTTGAGAAGTTTTTGCTATAGGGCATGTGTGCTTGCCAAAAAGACAGAGACAGAGACACAGAAAGCAAGAAATCACCCCCCGGGGTGGGGGGGCAGGATGGCCACACCACAATCCCTTCTCCTCCATTCTCCTTTCGGGATCTTAGGCACACACGCACACCCACCTGGCTTGAGTTTAAGCCACTGGGTCCGGGACTCGAACCACAGTCGACTTCATGGGAGTCAGCGACAAAGCCATTACGCCATCTGCTGGTCCCAACTATCATAATTTTCTAAGAACAGTGGAAATATTGCTGGCCTGGCCCTCCCGAACTTCTACTGATAGCCAGGCTCCTCAGGAGCGTGGTCAGCTTTCTATAATGAGATCCTTGCACTCACACAAGTTGTGCCATTGCAAGTCTTCAATATAGTCAGGCGGCGGCCTGTTGGTGTCTATCCTCAAACATCTGTTAATAGGTCGCATGGGAGGGGGTGGGAAGAAAGACAGGCAAGGTGTCTCTCAGGATGCGAAGTGTTGCTTTTTGCATCTTTGCCTGGCCGCAGGAGTGGCCCTTAGCCACATGCCAATATTTTGTTTGGAAAAGAAGATCTGACCCTGGCCTGTACTATTCACAAGCTAAATGGCCATAGGGAAGCAGCTTCACTACCAACCCCAGGTGTCCTTATTCGCAAAAAGAGGCTATTGATATCTTTCCTGAAGGCCTCACAGGGATGCGCTGAAGAGCAAAGGGAAGTAAGGCCAAGGAGGCATTCTGTGAGCCAGAAGGCTTACAGGGTCTTGGTGTAGTGCCATCTATACACAAGCCCAGGAGGCCTTTCTTGGAAAACCGACTGAGCCAAATCCAGGACCGTGAGCCCTGAGCCCTTATCTGAATCCCATGGGAGTAGATGTGTTCAGCATCCAGTATGTTTCTGATTTTATAATGATCTTATATTAGGTGCTACCCTCAGTAAACTCTGGGTAGCACTCCATGAAACACAGTTTGTGCAGAAAATGACAGGAAACTTGACAAGATCTGGGACAAATTCTTTAAAACTTTTTACATCAGCTTAGGTCAGGTTTTGCCATTGAATGAATTTTTATGTTAACCTTATGTAAATACTGGATTTTATCAGATTTTATTTTTTTATTGGGCTTGGGAACTTCAGATAAAGCATGGTCAACCTGGGGCAACCCATGGCCTGGTGATTAAGGGAACTGGATCTCATATGGCTAACCATGGGATTTCAGTCCCAGATCCAGTGGTTTGAAAATACATGAGGTAGGGACCAGCAGATGATGTAATGGTTAGGTTCCTGGACTCCCACATATTCGACTGTAGTTTGAGTCCCAGACCCAATGGCTTAAAATTCACGCTGGGCACATGTGCATGTGTGTCCAAAATCCCGAGAGAAAAATGGAGGAGAAGGGATTGCAGCCTGGCCAATCCCTGGAGGAGATGATTTCTTGCTTTCTGTCTCTCTGTCTCTCCTTATTTCTCCTGTCTCTCTAGTGAGTGCACACACCCTATAGCAAAAATTTCTAAAAGAAAAAATAAATGAAAAGAAAAATACATGAGACTAGTGCATGTATGTGCCCCAAATCCTGATAGGATGGAGACATGGAGGAGGAGGGATTGCAGTGAGACCACACCCCACTGGGGAGTACTTTCTCCCTCTTCCTCTCTCTGTCTCTCTGGTGAGCATGGGCACTGTCTCAGGAAAAAGAAAATTATGGACCTGTGTATTTAACCATTAATGTCAGGGTGAGTCTCACGTTTTTCATGAGAAGGTTTTCAGGAGTGATGGTGGAGTAGTATGTTCTCTTTCTCAAAGAACACCTTTTTTCCTTTTTTTTTTAAAGAGGTTTTTGCCATAGGTGTGTATGTTCACCAGAGAGAGAGAGACAGAGACAGTGAGAGGGAAAGCAAGAAATCCCCCCCACATACACAATCCCTTCTCCTCCATTCTCCTCCTGGGATCTTGGGCATGCACGCACACGTGCCCGGCGTGAGTTTCAAAGCACCAGGTCTAGGACTCAAACCATAGTTGATGAGGCAACCACTATGCCATCTGCTGGCCCTCCAAGGAACAGTTTTGCAGTACAGTACAAGCCTCCAACATCTTTTTGTTTGGTTTTTTTTTTTGAGAGATTTTTGCTATAGCACACATGTATTTACCAGAGAGACAAAGAGACAGAAAGCAAGAAATCACCCCCAAGGGGGAATGGCCACACCGCAATCCCTTCTCCTCCATTCTCCTGTTGGGATCTTGCGCACACATGCTCATGTGCCTGTTGTGAGTTTAAGCCACTGGGTCCGGGACTGGAACCACTGTACACTACATGGGAGTCTGGTGACATAACCATTATGCCATCTGCTGGTCCCCAAGCCTCCAACATCTTAACCCAAAGGAGACTTCTAGGCCTTGTAGCAGTGCAAGTCTGGGAGCTGCTTGGGAGTGAGGGGACTTTCTCTTGCAACTTTTCCCACTCCTACTCTAAGCTTAGGGCCAAGCGCTGAGGGTTTTGCTAGCTGCAGGAAAACAGGGCTGAGAAGCTGTGGTGCATTTTAGATAAAATGGAAGGGGGCGGGACTGGATGGGGGACTGACTTCCCCAGAGAAGGAAGACTTGGTGGAAGTGCTAAATAGTTTCATTTCCCATAGTGGTAGAGTAACGGGGGAGGAGTTGAGAGAAAATTCAGGTCTTGGGGATAAAAAGACCTGAAGTGATGCATATAATTCTACTTCACACTCCAATTTGCATATCATCCACTGTTTCCATGTGTATGTCCCAGAGGGAGGGCTCACCTCAGAGCCCTGTTCCAGCCATGCAGCCAGGGCCCAGTGGTACTCAACATGCCCTGCAGGGGACACAGCTTTCTGTGGGGTGAACTGGCTGCCCTGAGCAGGGGGAAGTATATGGGTTTCTACTTGGTGTGATTAGTGGGACCCCAGAGGTCTCTACCAATGCTTCCCTTCCAGCAGCTCTGCAATGGCATGGAAGCATTTCTCCAGATGGCCCTGGTAAACTGCTGAGAGGAGCAACAGGGAGGAAGGACATCAGCATCCACATGTCAGCCAGATTAGGCTCCAGAAGGTGGTGGGGGGGTAGGGAATGGTCCTTAAAGGTTTGGAGCTGG